ATTGTTTCTGAACCGAAGAAAAAGAAGTCAATTTGATCACACTGTGGTCCGAAAGGCCATGCTTTTTTGATGCAACGTCGAGCGACTGTGGTAATCGTCTCAAGAATGAGATCCAGGTCTTCGACCATATTTTTCTATTGTCCCACTTTTCAGAACGCTTCCTGGAGCGCTTTAGTTGCAAAATTATGGCAGCAGCTAACAATTTTTTTCGCTTCGCTGTCGCCATTTTGTTTTTTTACATTGGTTCACGCAATTTTTAAACGTCACCCGATGGAACCTGGAATCAAAGCTGAAGTAATGGGCCAAAAAAAAAATCGCGAAGTGTGTTCGCAGCGATCTGTGACAATCAAATTCGCCGCGATCGGTGTAGAAAATCGCCAGGTGTGTCGCCGGCTTAATTTGGGATGAAAAGGAATCCTAAAAGTGCGCGAGACATTAACGTAACAATCGAACTTTAGAGAATCTTGAAAGCGCACGAGATACTAACGTAACAGTCGAACTAAAGAAAATCTTGAAAGTGCGCGAGATACTAACGTAACAATCCAATGAAAGAGAATCCCAAAAGTGTGCATATCATACAGTTGATGAAAAACTCTAAAAGCAATTTGAGAGACTGAAGCAAACTTTTTAGCGCACTGTTCAACTTGGTTGTGGTCTAATTCAAGAGCTCTTGTCGATCGTTAACGATTAGGCTCGAATATTTACAATAGGTCATGTTAGAATGAAATTTTATATAAGTTGATGATAAATCATGGGGAAAATTGAGAAACAAAATCTTTTCATGGAACATACTTTTCCAATTTGTTTCCCCCCAAGAGCTCCTACAATTTTCAATTTTAATTATTAGGTTCGAAGACCTTTACTAAACCATGTCAAAAAACGTTCTATGTAATTTGATAACAAACACAGGAAGAACTTCGACACAAAAACCTCTTCTGGGTATGGTGTTCACTTTAAATTTGATTAAGACTCAACTTCATAACACACAGGCTCCAAGTGTTTGTCCAGTTTGTCTTACAATTTGTAAGAAACTGTAAGACTATTAAACTTATCATATATTACAAAAAAAGGAACAAAATTCAGAAATGATAACTGTAGGCATGGTAGGTAACTATAGATAATTTTGTTTTTGCCTCAGTGGATGAGACATTCAAACAGCCAGTTAATCTCCAAGGCCTTTATCGAAGGAAGTAATTATAATGGAAAAAATGTTCTTATCGGAGACTTAAAACAAATCATATATATAACTTAATTTGAGAAACGTAAGTAAGTGCATGAGCATGTTAAATTGTGTTAAGCCTTAGGAGGCGAGAAATTCAGGCTTCAGGTTGAACAAAATTTGACATCTAATGAAAACCTTCTTTAACATCTTATGACCATCATCTTGGGATATTTTGTTTCCACAGTAACACGTGTAAGAAAATTTCCCGGCCTAGTATCTGTTGTAAGTCTCGCAAATGAATAAGCTCGGTGACTCCCTTTTCTTTTTATATCTTTACTGTCAAGTAAAGACTGCCTTGCAAAGTAAATCATCCCGAAAAAAAATAGAATATTCTTATTGTTGCCTGGGGCAGTACTACGTTAACTTGGAAGTTACAAAACTGGCAATCCTTACGTGAAAACAGGTTACTTTCACAAAAACATTTTGATGCGAGCAGGAATTCAAATACAATATTCGACAAATTCAAGATCCTGGATGAGCCCCTGGAAAGATTTACGAAACTTGCTTGGCTGGAGACTTATACCTTGTAAAATATTTGCACTCTCCTGGTGAGTAATACCATTACAAAGATCGAGAAAAAGTTGAATAATCGATATCAGTCTAACAATGACTCTCTAACCTTATAACTTGAAGATAATTTGATTGGCTAACCGTTGTTATGGTAACTTGATTAGTCAGGTGGATAGTCATAACATGCACAATAACGACAAGGTATTTCTTTGACACTGGTGAATCAGATAAAAAGTACTCATGATTGAAATAATTCGTCAAACGAAAACTGCTGAAAACAACTGAAAACCACCTCAATCGGAAAGAGATCAGAGAAATAAGACAATGAAGTTATTGATACATTCCTTAGTTTTCAGTAATTCTTCATTATTGTCTGAGTTAGTTAAACTGTCCAACGCAGACGAATAGACCCTCATGTAGAAAACTAATCTGTTATAAAAAGCCAATCATCTAACCTTGTTAGAAGTTTTTGTGTAATTCTTTCCTTCCTTGACTTTCTTGATTTCAAAGTGTTCTCATTTTCTTGTCGATACTGTCCTATAGAGGAAAAAGAGACAAATAAATCGTTTAGAGCCACCACATTTTCTGCTGCATGAACGTAGAAAGATAGTCCTGAAAAAAATTACTCTAAAATCTAACAGTCTAATGCAGTGATGTGTCTTACATTCAAAATAGTAAGGAAAAATAAGACAAAAAAAATTATGATAAAGGCCGGTCTAAATCAAATTAAAGCAAGTACTGCTCTCCTCGTCCTTTGTGTAAAAGATGGGAACCAATCCTCTAATAACCAGAAGCTGGAGTCTATGTTAAAATTTTTACACGATTATCCTCCTCTCCCCTCTCCTTCCTTGGCGGGTTTGAAGGGGGGGGGGGGGGGGGGGGGGGGAGGGAAGGTAAGGCGGGAAAAATCAACTACGTTTAAAATATACTTTAGGTAATCTGAATATAATCCGTTCAGGAATGAAAATAAGTAAATAAGCGAGAAGTACACTAACAATAAAGTACAAATTTCTCATGTTGCTACTAGGACACGTTCAAGAAGAACTGTCATGGCGGCTGCCACTAAGAATTTGTCCCACACTGAGCCATATGCATTACGTTCTTCCGTCTTACATTTGACTCTGTAAATTCATTTTACAAGGACCACAACGAGAAAGATGAATACTGTATTTCTATCCAAATGTACCTTTCCTTGGGTTATTTACCTGAAGAAAAGTCCTGACAAAGTGTAAAGCCGGCATGAATATTCGACATGGCATCTAAACTGCTTGACCCTGCATAAGAAATACCCGCCGACCTGAACAGGACAGGCAATATCCAACGTAATAGGGTCGAAATGACGTATTTCTTGACTCCATGGAAGCTAAAAAAGACGCTCAAATTTCTTGTAGTTCGTCAGCTCTTTCCACGTGCAAGACTGAGCGCAAATATGAATATTAATTTGGAAAACTATTTGTAATTCAAATGAGTTTTCCGACGAAAAAATGCTGGTTCAAAATAATCGACAGCAAGTTCTTCGGTCTCATACATTCAATTATAAAACAGAGTAAGATGCCTCAGCTCGCTTCAGACAGATTTTCAGCTTAGAGAAGTCCAATAAAGTACTGCAAATAGTGTTGTAATTCTAGCAACATCAACTCGAACTGAAATAAACTCGAACTCGAGACATTTTGCGTGAACAACAATTTTCCGTCACGACAGAAGTATACAATACAGGTGTTTCTGGTTATTAATTATCGGTTCAGCAGAACTCCCCGATATATAGACCTGTTTCCTTTTCCGTGGGCATTTCGAGTTCTCAAGATGTTGCTGTTTTTCAATCTGCACCACTGTCGACGAAATACGTTACAGACGAAGGAGCTGTTTTTTCCGACTACTTTCCGACTGGATAAAGACCATTACATGATTTTAATACATATCGGTTACATAAATGCAATATCCCCAAGCCTCTCCAGTTGATTTTCAGAGGAACATGAGAAGGAAGTTATTCCACCCATCCTTTACTTTAGTCGTTTCCAGAGCCCCCACGTGTTCATCAGTTTAGAGGGAGAAAAAGAGAGAAGGAAAAGAGATTGGGGCCAAACTTGGGTTCACTCTTCGATGACGTTTGTACTGTATATTTCAAAAACCAAACAGGAACAGGACGAGGGAAATAAGTTGCACGTTCACGTCCCAGCATGTTTGGATTAACAATCTCTGAATAAGTTAGCAAAAATGTTATGTTAGAAATAAACTCTAATAAGGAACTTTTTTAAATTGCTTTTCTGGCTTCTAATAATCATAAATTATTTGATGGCATTAAAACTTTTAAGTAAAGGATCAAAGTGATAAAACTGAGACGAAAAAGACCTACACCCCAGCTTCCCAAAATCGTTTGAGTATTTAAAATTAACGCTCACACAGATGTAAAAAACCTTACCACAAGAGTAAAGTATCCAAAAATACCACTGACCAAACTCCATCAATCAAGATAAGTACGTATCAGCCAATATCCATTGTAAGGTATCAGTAGGAATTTTTCAAACTTAATTACATCATTTTAGAGCAGTTTTCATTTGAGAGTTGGAAGTAATCTGGAGTTTCGTTGTTTTTGCTTTACTTCTATTTGTGATTGGTCCAGATAAAATCGCGCAACTCTTTCAACCAATCAGATGCAAGACTAAACCAATCACTACTCGTTTTCCTGCGCTTCAGGCGGTTTGGTTGGCTTCACTTCTTAAAAGTTCTCATTGGCTCTTAAGATATATTTTCCTTTCTTCTGATTGGCCGTTGTGATTATTTTGGTTTTGGTGCTTCGACATCAATCGGAAAGAGCTCTTATTGATCAAACTAAAAACAGTCAAACGATATGGCTGTATGCGGAGTCTCCTCAGATTTGTCTCGTAATTTACAGTAAAATATTTCGATACAGTAAATTTAGGTTGGTGTAACTCGATGTTATGTCACCATCAATGGACCAACTTTGGACAGTTGTAGCAGAAAGTGAGTGCAAGCCTGTTGATGACGTCATTGGGACACGCCCAATGTCACATGACTCAGAACTAAAAAAACGGGAGAGAGTGCTGTGTGACAAGCCCAAGTAACTACTCGAAAGAGACTGAGGGTTTAAATTTTAACTCCTAGAAGTGATTCCCTTGCCACTTTATTGCAGTTGCAATACATCAACTGGCAAACATCTTATGAGAACAGAAAATCTTGTCAGCTTAAGGGTGTTACCTTGTTTAAAAATGGAATTCTCCTGTCTAGTTTACATAGAAATTTTGGCAGTCAGTTGAGAGAATAATTAATTGGGAGTTAAGAGGGAGAGTATTATCAAAGAGAATGATGAGTGGCAGCTGTCCAACAGCTTGAACTTTCCCTGGAGATAGCAGCATGGGCAAATGAAGGTCCAGGGTTCACGTCCCACTCTGTCCACTTGATGGATTTGTTTCTGGCTAATCCCTTGTTCAACTGCTCTACTGTGCTTGTAAACAGCCGACTGGTTTGTCTCCTACCATTGTCATTTGAGTGTTGTTAATGAAGGGGCAATGATGAAAACTACAAGGTTACTGGTAATTGTGTCACCCTTATATACCGGTAGTCTTCTTGTTTTATGTCCAACATGGCACTGATCCACCTAACATACTCTTATCTGTTGACAATGGTTGTCATGATACATGGTACACTGAGATGTCACTCGTTACATCAGCCACAAATATACTCTCTCTTTGTGAACCAGATGCTATCCAGTTTATCTTGGATCCATGGTTAATTTCATGGGCAATACCAACAGCACTTGCATTTGCCTCAAGATTGGGCTCTGAGGCACCATTGCATGTACTACCACATAAATTCCAAGTAACAATCCTACTGTCATCTCCACCTGACACCAATAAGTTGTTTGGGTGAAATCTAGCAAAGTGGACCTGTGTTACACTGGAAGAATGCTTTTTTAGACACTCATCAGGAATAAATTTTTTCTTGCCTTCAAACCTGAAGAGTTGGATGTTGCCACTACCTGCAAAGGAAACCTTACTTCTCAAGTTTTTGTCAACAATTAATCATCACAAGGCAAAGGGTAAGTTGACGAGAGTACTAAAATTATTTAGAGTACTAATTAATTTGACTGTAAAAGTATAAATCTCCTCAACAAGAAGACACGTTCATGTTTTAATTCAATTAGTTAATAACTATACACTGTAAAACAACTCACTAGTTATAATGCAATAGATAACATATAGTGTAGCCGATCAGATTGCAGCATATTTTATGGAATGCAAGTAGCAATGTACGAATACAAGTTGTCCTTAACATTTTTTGGGTTTTTTTTTTTTTGTTAGTGGATAGAGTTACTGTGAGAGTAAGTGTTTTCCCCGCAGAAAAATAAAAATTAAAAAATGACCCTACAAGGGGTGAGACCTTAACCCTTTTGCACAAAGACTATAAACTACACCCCCTCCTCCCCCTCTCCCTAGGAATGTTCAATGCGTTCCTTATGGTGTTTGACAACTAAATTTTGTTGTGCATCAATATATACATTTTTTGAATACCTAGTCCAGCTGCAAACATCCTCCCATCTCCTGCCATATGAACTGAGTGCACAAAAGGTGGGTTCAGGAAATAAGCCCCTTGATTGCTGTCCTCATCTAGCTCTTGGACATCGAGTTCCTGAAGTGCTCTCCCGGATGAGAAATCCCAACTGATAATTCTGTAATCCATAGACCCAGACAGTATTTCCCACGGTCTGTTGGGCCTGAACTGAACTGTTGAGCATATGTTATCATTTCTACCACGCAGTGTCTTGAACAACCTTCCTGATAGCACGTCAATCACTTTAATGTCACCGCTGTCATCGCACGCGGCAAGAAAACCGCCCTTGTAGTGAATAGCTACCTGGTTAATTTCATCTTGGTTAAATTCAAATTCACAAACAGTTGATGACGGATTTCTGAGATCATAACCAAACACTTTGTTCCTACATGATGCGTATAAACGTTCTGGATTTTTCACGCAAAAGCAGACACCATTGATGTCTTTCGAATCATCCAGCTGGGTCGATGGCGAAGGACATAAAAGTTTGTTATGAGATGACCCATCTTTTGACCAGACATTAAGTTCTCCTTCACCACCTGAAGCTACAACACCTTCTTTGTTCACGTCTAGTGAAATAACAGTTGATGTATGCCCACTAGTCCAAGTACTTTTTTGCATAATTTTGCAAGATTGGAAAATGTTCTGCTTTTCAATCTGCTCTTCTAAATGCTACACATTTCGTGACATTTCGTCACTTTTATCACGCAATCCTCTTCTAAGAGAAAATTTTATCCAAATTCGGCCATCTTTACCTAATTTGGATAAAGTGAGTCCACGCAACGCTGGTCAGTGTTGAAATCGGCGCCATTTTGTAAACCATTGTAAAGATTTGAAGAGGAAGAAATATCGCAATAAAAGCCAGAAATATCGCCAATTTTTTCATCTAAATTAAAGAATATAGAAGCCTGAAGATAACCATGAATCCTTTAACGTGAGTAATTAACCTTTACCAATCCTTTTTTACTAAAAAATAATCGATTGATCATCGTAGTTTCACGAAAATAGATACATTACTTATGGTCCGTCGGTAGATATGTGTGCGCTGTTGGCAGATAATGCAACCAACTTCCAAAGAGCGGGGCTTATGTTTTGTTAAGATCTCTCATTCAATATTTATTCTTTCGCTCGTGTTTGAAGTGCAAATGTACGCGTCGTTACAAGGTTACCAATCTTCGTCCAAGGTTTGTTCACACAGCTGTCAGTTCAGAGTTGAATTTATAGTGATCAGTGTATTACTCTTCACAGAAACGTCAAAAACATTCAGAAAATGAATGAAAAGATGTTGGAGATGGGTGTGGAGGACAGCCAGGCATGGCACAAGCAGTACAAAGATAGTGCTTACGTCTTCATAGGTAACGTTGATTAAAAGTTTTCATACCCACCGTCAAAATGAGCTACCTTTCCACTGATAACCAATTTCATTGTGCCTTTCATCTTCTGCGCACAAAATGCTGCCCAAGATAACCTTTATTATTCCCCTTTTTAAGACACAGACTAGTGAATAAAAATTCATTGAAACTGCTTTAAGAAAACTTTAATTGCATTAAAGTAGCCAATTATGAAAGGGATTTGTGGAAAAACTCAGGGAGATGTAACCTCCCAAATGTGAGGGGCTGGTTTATGCAGTATAGTAGAACTCTGTGAATGTATGCATGCTTTGCCACTTAATGAAATGCATGGAATATAGTCCAGGGGTTTTATTAAAAGCTGGTTACCATTGGTCTGCTGCTGCTTTTGAGACCACGTCATGTTGTTGTTTGGATGTTGCCATTCAGCCCCCTTTTTGGTCACAGCTGCCTATCACAACATCGGCAGCCTGTTATGAAAACCCCTGGCTAATTGATGGAAGCTCTCAGTTGCTCATATCATGCACTCTTGCAAATACATGTCCTTACATTAACTGTAAGCTCTCTCTTTGCAGGTGGCCTACCTTTTGATCTCACTGAGGGCGATGTCCTGTGTGTGTTTTCACAGTATGTTGTCAAATTTCTGAGTGATAATTTCTTCCATTCACATTGGTTTGTTTACTGTTAAGATGGCCACCTTTTGCTGATGTTCAAGTTTCTTTAGCAGCTGTGTTGTTTAAAAATTTAGATATCATGAAGATGATGATGACTGCCATTTAGATTGTGAAAATGTCTGTCACTTCTACAAATGACAAACATGTGTATTAAATTACTAAAATGTTAACAATGGGGTCAATCTTCTAAATCTATTAGCAGTGCTTCTTTCAGAAGCAAACCAATTTTTTGTAACCAATTAAGCCTCTTGAACCTGCTCAAAAATTGTCTATTTGCATAATTCTGTCTATTTGGATCATTGTTTTCTCACATTGATTTGGCATTTGTGGATAGATATGGGGAAATTGTGAACATAAATCTGGTGAGAGACAAGAAAACTGGAAAATCAAAAGGATTTTGCTTTTTGTGTTATGAAGACCAGCGAAGCACAATATTGGCTGTGGACAACTTCAATGGAATCAAGGTCAGATTTTCCACTCATTAATGTTTTCAAAGAGGAAACAGTCATAATTAATCGTACTATCAACTGACTGAGTATTAGTAAAGCCCTTGGTATTCTGTTAAGATTCTGGTTTGGGACACTTTCATATTGCCTCCTCAATATTAGTATATGCATCCTCCTTATTGTTCTCCCTACATTTCCAAAGGTTCTGATGAGAAGAATTTGTTCAACAATCAAGATATTCTTTAATTATCATTTCATCTACTTACTTGACCTTATGAGTGATTGGGGGGTCATGTTGTAAAGAGCAATTGGATGCTATTCACTAGTTTGTATTACATTTTGTTTGGAGCATGCCCTTCTTTTATTTTAATTCCTGTAGTACACTGTAAAGTTTTTAAACTTACAATAGGATTGTTTGTGTCTTTTCTAAAGCTTGGTGGCAGAATAATCAGAGTGGATCACTGCTCAAATTATCGAAGACCATTAAGTGATGAAAAGGATGAACATGGGAAAAGAAAGGAGATTATTGAGGAAGGCTGTGCTCCTAAAACACCTTCACCATCACCACCAGCCTCAGAAGATGAGGAGATCCTTGAACTACCAAAGAAAAGAAAGAAAGAGAAAAAAGCAAAGAAAGACAAGAAACTCAAAGAAGAGAAATTACAAAAGAGAAAGAAAATGTTGTCCAGCTTAGGGGAAGAGGATCTTGAAGAACCTACCAATAAAAAGAGAAGTGTGCTTGGGTCTGATAACAAAAGGGAAGGGACTGACAGAGATCTGTCTCGTGACCGTGATTTGCGGAATGTGAAAGCTAGTGTGATGCACGACAGTGGACGTGATCAGGATTTTAGAGACCATCACGCTTATAAACAGGGTAGAGTTTCAAACAAACATGGCCGCGATGGGCACATCAGTGATCGTAAGCGTGAGCGAGAAATTAATGAAAGCGATCGCGAAGCACGCAATCGTGAACATGATATTCGTGAGCGTAACCATGAAGCACATACTCACGAATTCCGTGACAATCACATCACTAGTAACCGTAAGGAGCAAAGAGACAGAGACTATCGCAACTCATTGCGTGACAATAGAGGGCATGAGGTAGATGGAAGAAAAAGAGATAGGTTCAATAGGCCAGGAGATCATCGAGATGAAAGTAGGAAGTATGAGAGACGGGACAGAAATAACTTCAGTGATCGAAGGGACAGAAGATGACGGGTTTCAAACCAAATTGTTCCCAGTTCCTTAAAAAACTTAGGTTTGAAAGCAATACCAAACAAAATTGTCACTTCATGATTTTATTGTAATAAAATATCCATTTACATTTGATAAAGAATTTTTTTGATACCTGAAAATGGTAACTCAAAGAGATTATAGCTTTAGATTGTCAGTAGCTTGGAATTTACCACACTGTAGAAAGGTTTTCCAAATACACGACTGGCACATGCAGAAAAAATTGAGCCTCAACATACTGTATCTTTTTATAACATGCAAACTATGGAATTTTATTTATGTTTTATATTATGCAATAAACCGCTTTTTCAATTGGTGACCCACACAGGATGATGGGAGAACATGAGAAAAGTTTGAAAAATCACGAGCCAGAGGTGAGTGATTTACAACCTTTTTGTTGTTTTCCCAACATCACGCAAAACCAATAGGATAAGCCATCTAATGCTTTTATAAAATAAACTTCAATTTTCCTCTGAATTTACCATTGCAAGACACAATAAGTGTTTGACCAATCAGGGTGCTCAGTTATTTTAGAAAATGCCTTTAACCCTGGTTTCAATAGCAAAGCAGCATTGCAGAGAGATTGGATATTGGTGTAAATCATTTTCTGTATGTGAAAGTCCGTAAAAATGATGACTGAGGCAGAAGAGCACAAAGTAGCAAGTTTGGATCTGAAACCTTAGAGTCCACATGTTATTGAGGGAGACACAAAACGACTTGAACATCACTGCAAGTCTTTAGAAGACAAATTGATTTGACTTCATGCAGTCATTGACATGAGATGATGTTCAATTAATGATACAGAAACAAAACAGTGCATGACAATGGTCTCTAGATTTGTCATAAGTATAGCAGAGCCTTTGGAAGGTTAAGGGTTTAAAGGTGAAGAGAGGGTTTGCCACTTGCAAATTGCAGATATCCCATGAGCAGGCCCCTGTGATAAGCACTACACCACAAGCGTTTCTTTGTCTTCCAGAAAGGTTAAATACTTTAGGGGGGGGGGGTTCCGAGGTGTCTGCCAAACCCCTCAGAAACCTCTTACCAGCTCCCGTTGCACAAGCCCTCACAGGCAAAGAAATGCTTATGCCACAAGTTAATAATGACAGCTTCCTTGCAGGCTCTGTCAGATATGGTTAAATTCATCTTATCAAGAGGACTTACTAACCCTATCAGAGCTCCTCTATCTGATTGCATTGACCTTATCATTCCATTAGCCCTAAATAACAGAGAGATGTTTGTATTCAGTTAACAGCAATGTGTTTGTGTATTCTAACAGTCCTAGTCTCAGAGTTGTATGTCTTGCTGCCTTCACTCCTGTCCATGCGAAGAGGAAGAGTACTGGTAGCAAGAGAAGATACCTCCCAATATAAACTCCTTGATAAAAAGAGTCTGTATAGCAAAAGGATTGACATGGACTGAGCAGTCAACAAGCCCCATGTGATAACCTGAAATCAACAGATATATAAGTATTCATGAATGTTCAGTTTCAAGTTAGTCCACTTCTAACAGTGTAGGGATAGCAGAAGCTGGGGGGAGGCGGAGGATGGGGATGTGCTGCAGATGGGGTCGTATTTTCATGTCTGGATTGATTGTAATGGTGTTACTTTTTTAAAAGAGGGAATAGAATGGGGTTGTGCTTTTTCAGGATTTTGGGGCTAAGAAAATTCTTGTAGGTAGGGTCAGTTAGCAAATTACCAGAAAGTTTGTATTGAAGGTAAAAAGTAAAGTGATCTAAATTCAAATTAATTTATTTTAGGTTGGTGTACTTAAAAAGGCTTTATAAACAAAAAGTGACAAAGTTGAAGTGACCCAGATGGTCTATAAGCAGCCACAAAATAGACTATGATAAGGTAGGGGTTTTGAGGGGCCTGCAGCATCATACACTATTTCAAGTAGCAGTAATCACATTTAACCTTTGAGAAATAAACCACCCCTTATCATGTACTGGTCAAAAGTGAGTTGTTTATAATCAAACCTATTTGCAATACACTGTACCTTGATTTGAATTTAATCATAGTTACCTTAAATCTTGAATGAACAGGTAATACCAATGACAAAATTGCTAAAGCTGGGTATGCTAAAAGCCACGTCAAACAACACTGAAAACAAAAATGCAGTTACCTTAGTTTTTATGAACTACCTCAGTCTGCAACATGGAAAACGGAATGCACATACCTGTATCATTAAAACATGATACCCACCTTTGCAAACTTATTGTAAAATTCCCTACGAAGTGTACTTCGTTCTTCTGTGATTTTCTTATTAATGTTGGCACCAAAGCCACCAGCTATCAAAATTTTTATAAGAACTAAAAGAAGAGTTGTATCCCAAAATGACGACATGACCTGCAAACAAAAGCAATGATAAATTAGGGTAAACTATAATGGCAGAAATCCCTCTTTTGTCAGTTTTTCCCAAAGCACAATTCAAGGGAAATCAGAGATAAAGTTGGTGCCACAAAAGCCCTTGCAAACTGAGTTCACAAAGGTTAATTTTTTTGTTAAAAATCTTAAAATTCTAAGACTTTCTACAATGTGTTCCACAACCTTATTGATGTGTTCCATTACCAGTAATTGAGATCTTGCTTCCCAAATGAGGAAAAAGCAAATATGTCAAAAAGGCATTTTATGTTGTTGTTGAATAATGGGATTAATTTTATAATTAAAAGAAACTGTAGCGCCATGTTTGTAGGGGTATAACAACATAATTTGGTTTCATCATCTGAGTAGGTGATGTGAATTGGTCACCATAAAGAGACTCTAATGAGCTGACATTTCCAGCATCAGTTTCAATCAAATAACTGTGTCAAGTGTTAGTTTAGGAAGTGGTTGGCAACACACCTCAAAACCTGAAACTACAATAACACCAATATTAATCTGCTTCATTTGTTTTGGATCAAGAGTTGAAAAAGAAGAACTCAGAGTCCATCCTGTAGATAACTTGGCCATCATCAGTAACATCTGATATCCTGCAAGGCCATTAACTGCTGTAATAAAATATCGAATACAAAAGATTAAAGTTTTTGTCGGATTTACTCCACAAGGGAAGAAGTCATGGTCCTAATGTTTGGCCTGAAAGGGTATGGTGCGACCTGCTCAACAGGAAGTACTTTGATTCTTGCATTGTGTATACTATATCTCTATTTACCCTCTTTAACTGGAACCAGGAGTCTTTAATATGAGGTGAGCATTAGCAATGTACAGTCTAAATGGAACGAAGGAGAAGGAGTGAATTTTGCATGGTAGTTATAATTAGGAGAATTTGTTTAACAAACAGGAGCTTCTTGAGTTTGTGATCATTTCCTTACCTCTCATGACCTTAATGTTTGATTCAGTGATGATACTGTTGGGAGAAATTAGATTCTTACAACTCTTAAGGGTTTAAGAATTAAGCCTGTTCTCCTTGATGAGATGCTTATAATGCATCTCTATTCACAGGAATGGCAATTGAAACAACTTAACCCTTTAACTCCTGGACCAAATTTGTAATTCTCCTTACTGTCAACCACATGATTCTTATAATGTTAGTTCAGAGAATTTAGTATTGGATCAACGAATTATCCAAAAAAATTTTAGTTTTCTTTATTCTCATCACTTGTCTGGTTGATATTGTATTGATATTGTAAGGAGAAAGTCTGTCTTGGTCACTCATGGAAGCTAAAGGATTAAGTGTAGTAAGAGGACTATGTGTAATAAAGTAACTTTCTTTCACACCGTTTACCTGTGGAGAGATTATCAAGAAGAGGATAGCCTTCACCATCCTTGGAATATCTAGGGTTTAAAAAATTGTAACAGTTAGAATAATCAAGTGATTACATGATTGTGATTAAAACTTTCACCACAAAATCTGTGCAAATGAAAATACAAATTGTGAATACCTGTAGATATGAATGAGAGTGAGAAAGTGTCCTATGCCTTGGTAAATCAAGGCTATTGACAGCATTTTGATCACCTAAAGATTACACAAAACAAAAATGTCTCAACAGTAATATTTTATTGAGGCCAGTCTCATGTGTGGATATTATTAAAAGCAAATATGGATTTTAAGTGGACCCTTAAAATAACATAAAAGACTGTCCGCAGTAGGTTGAGGTTTTGACACTATTGGAACCTGGACATGACTCAACTTAGCATGAAGTTGCCTAGATTCAGGCTCTTACAGCAGATTTTTGGTAAATTCTTGTGCAAGAAACACCAGTGACACACACCAGGCCAATTAGCTACCAATACTCAAAATTACATTCAAGAATGAGACACATGTATTGGTAGTTTTGAAATTCAGACTGAAAATATCAGACAATGAAACAAAGTGGACTAATTTTTTTGCTAAGATCCACACATTTATCCATTAAATTAAAATTTAAAAAAAATGGCTTTGGGCCCATAGAGCTACCAGGACTTTCAAGAAACTGGTTCTGGGGTTCAAAATGAAACATCTTAATCTGCAGTGCTATGCACTACAAATCTGGCCTTCTTTTATCACCAGAAAGGAACAATGACAGCAAACACAACCAACTAAGCAAAATCATACTATTTTGATTTGACATAAAATTCCTTTCAGTAGCAGTAAAAGGAATGCTTGATCTTTAGTAAGAAGAACTGATACCTTGACCAAGGTTAACCCTTTTACCCCTAAGAGTCACTAGAATTTCTCCTTACAGTTTCACTCTGGAATCACACATTGAGGTCATGAGAATAAAAGAAATGATCGCAAACTAAAGAAGCTCTTGATTGTTAAACAAATTCTCCTTGTCAGCACCTTAGGAAATGTATAGAGAACAGTGTGGAGAATATGCATAATGATGTTAAGGTGTAAAGGGTTAATACAAACATACCAAGTGCATGGGTCCTCCTTTCTGTATAGTCTGCCACAGACGCTGACCATAAGCTATTGCTCCAGCAAAGTAAAGGAATGCCAGCACCTCATAGAATGAAAGCAAACCTGTAAATAAAATAACAAAATCCTGTTGCTCCTGAAAATATACTGATGAGGCTGGCAATTGGAAACAGAAGAGGAAGCAAGTATAACCTCTGATGGATGAACATTACATCTTGGGGAAAGTGGCAACACTCTTGGTAATTTCTTCCTGTTTTTTTGTACAGAAACTGGGAGAAACTAATGGCCACTTAAGAATGACAAAGGACTTAATCTGGTTACCATCTGATTCAAAATATGAACTGCTTGGATTCTGGAGCCTTCCTAATTATTGTTCCAGAACAAGAATTCTTCATCAGAACTTCAACAAACCCAGATACTGTGAAGTTTAACTCATTTTACAATACAAATGCTGACCTGTCTCATCACAGCCACAGTGATTTGTTGGTTTTCCACCAGAATCAGGATTAAGCATTTCTAAAGTGAATGCAATGTCATCAAGAGCTGGCACACTAGGGTCACAGGTCACAGAATCCGCATACAGAACATACCATACCTTGGGGTCATCCCAAGGGGAAAACTTATTTTCTCCTGATGTAGTTTCAAGTGCAACTGAAAGAGGCCCAGCAATAGTGGTTAAAAAGGATCTCCATAATTGATAATTCATTAATGGCTCAATTATAAGTATAAATCATCCAAGTTAACCCTTTAACTCCAAAGATCTGATTGTTAGTTCACCCCCTCTGGCTGCTACACTTTTAATTTCTAGTTAATTCAAGATATCAACTTCTCTCTGACAAGTTCGAGTTTTCTCATTACCTGTTTGCTGGACAATGTATGGATCTTAAAGGGAAAGGTTATATGTTGGTCATTTCTTGAAGTTAAAGAGGTCTGTCATACATTGTGTGCAGACCCTAAAATATCTGATAAAGTGGAAGGGACATTCTCTATGTGCATACAGAGAGAGTCTTTATCATTCATGAGTATCAAACAAATAAAGTTGTTCGACTTACATGAATATTGAGCCATATCAAGCCTGTTCTGACACTGTGATGTTTGCTCCACCAATGGCCATTTCTCGTCAAGGAAAAAATACAGCTTTCCACTTGAGGTTGTGTTTAACTTAAAAGTAACCAGGGCATCACCTAATGTACACAATGGTATGACAAGAAAAATTAAATCAACAAGCAATCACTAGAATCTCTCGAGATCTGCTCCACCTCAAAAGCGTCATCTATGTGTTTCGGGAATGTCAGATACACATTTAGCTGGCCATCATGGCTCATGCTTTCCGTGGCCATTTTCTGAGGAAAATCACAGAAGGACGAGTTTAAATAATATTCATATAACATAGCAATACGTGGTGAACTGGCGGTAAGCACATCTAACAACCCAGAAATCAGCTGTCGCGAAAATTCGCGAAAGCTGAAATTCTACCTGCTCACACACACCTCTGGATAATAAAACGAGTGTTTCTTGAAATTGCGTCTCCTGTTATCGTAGGTTAATAAATGAAAAGACAAAAATTCATTCCTAGCTGAATTAAAACTTACCGTAAAAGCAGAACTTAGTCAGATACTGACCCTGATACAGTCGGGCCGAACGAGAGCTGAAAACACCGCGCAAGGTTCTGCAATTTACGATCATTAGGAAGCTAAATAAAACTAGCACAAGGAAACAGAGATTTGGCATAATGATATCTTTCGTGAGAAAGAATATCTAAAGAATTAATTTGCGTCAAAAACGCATTAAATGACCATTTGTCTGAGGAATATATCTCTGCGTCTGTCCATCCGCCATGTTTTAGTTAAAATAAATTGCGCTTGCGCGTTCGGTTGCCACGTGTACTTGGAAATCTAAAACCTTGGACTGGAGGATTGTAGTAGTGGATGGTAACCAGCCACTATATTGAACTTGGAACATAGGAAATTGACGTAGAAATAAAAGGTAAAGCAAACATCAGTGAGTAGTAAAAACTGGAAAAATAAACAAAAAACAACAACAAAATACGACAAAACCAACAGAAAAAAGAACAACAACAAAAAACGCAAAATGTTTAAATAAAAAAGTAGATTTAGTTTTTATTTCCTTGAAATTGAAAAAAGACACACATAGAGATACGGTTCCCCAAAAGAAAATGTCCAGTTGACAGTAGAGAACTCGAGTCATGAAAAAAAAAACCCCAAGATTTCGTCCAAAGATTACCGATTCGACTGAATACTAGGATATTTACATACGCGTATCCCGTTATTTTACACTGATTGTATGGTTATTACAGGCAAAACGTTTCATATCTTATTTGCAAAGGAACTTATTTTCTTTTTTAAAAGTTCTTTTTTATTTTAAAAATACGAAAATTTTCCAAGAAAATTGCACCAGGCAAATAACCTTTTTCTACATAATTCAAGATCGTTTTGCATAAGATTTGTTGGAGGCAAACAAAAAATCAGCAATATGCATTTTTAAGTGCACGATAAGGCATTAGTGGTGGCATGATGGTCATTTTTTTTTTATTACCAAAGTGAAATACGATAAGGTGCATCACCAAATTACCAGCCACAACAGAGATTGTACCATTTTAACAAGAATGTATATTTGCTTTTTATGAGTCAAAGAAGGGTGAAGCGATCGCTTTCTACTTGTTCGTGTACGTTTCCTGTGACTATAAACACGAAATAAACGCAAATCTCTCTTGTTGAATGGAAGAAGTACCGACGTTAGTCTGTGTAATATTGAACTTTTAGCCTTCCCAAAGATGACATCTAATAGAAATAACGATTGTATAAGACGACTTCATCCTCGAAGCCAAAAGTTTAATTTCGGTTCTAAATATTGTCATCAGGTAAATTGTAATAAGTATTTCCTGGTATATAAGAGATTAAGATAAAAATGTAAATTTAAAGAACACAATAATTTAGACTTTTCTTTGTTTATATGAATTATTTTAAGGATTAGACGTCAGATTTTTAACATATATATGCAATAATGCTTGGATTGTCATTGTGGCAAAACCAATTGAAATAAAACCTTGCAATTGTAAACTGTGGTATGAAAGCTAGCGGGGATTCCAGAACAAATGTAAGTGCCCCCGGGCCATGAGAAATGATCAAACATTCAAGACTAATAGGTTTTTCGAGTTAATGAAAAATTTCTATAAGAGTTTATGCTGTTGATGTTAGGAAATTCCCCTTGAGCCCAGTGCGCGTTCTAACGGGCAAAATATATCAATGTCTGTCACAAATTACATCAACACTAATGAACATAATCCTGTATCAAATTTAATGCTCTTTGCGTTGCATCAGAATCGACAGAAATATTGTCAACGCTAAACGATGGATGATCACGAATTAAACTTTGCGTCTTCCTTGCGGCACGATTCCTCAAGCAAGACCCTTGAGTCGGACTCATCGGAGCGCATGAATCGACGACAATCGAAGGTTTCCATCTTTCATTTAGCTGCCTTTGTTTTCGTGTTGGGATTTTGCTTCCTTGTAGCTGGAGTAGTGCTGATAACTTTGTCTCAAACACGGACATCAGAGACGCAAAAGAACTCTGCCTTCAATCAAACGATCGACAGTAAAAAAAACTACACATTTGGCGAAAACAAGACAGTCACAGAAAGTCGCTGTGCGTTTTCGTCAGGAGGTCAGCTTGCAGGTAGGTGTCATCTCTGTGACAGATGTCTTGTATTAAAATGTTTTGCCGGCAGTACCAGTCAACCATCGTTAATTGCTACTGATATATTTCTTCCATCGAGTTGATAAGCACAATAGCCAGCGCATCATTCTCGTGTAAGGAATTTTTTATTTGTTCGTTTGCTTTTGGTCATTTATTTTTTCTTCTGCTGAAGTCTCAGATCATGGTCCTCGTGACAGACTATTTTTTTAGGGTAATCGGCTTTTTCGATCGTGTTGAAAAGGAGCAAGGAATTTGCCTAAGAGCAAAGCATCTTAAATTTTACTATGATCTAAATGACTTTTAACAATGCTTAGCGGTTTTGTTGTTTAGAATTCTTGGATAACTTAATCGATGTAAGGAAAATATTGAATTTTAATCTTTTTGATAAAATTCTTTGATTAGTTTTGTGACTTCACTATTTTGACAACCGTTCGACAAATTTGAGCTTCAATGGCAAACTAACATTCAAGTCATGTCGATGCTATATGGCAATCTTATCAATATTGTCATAAATATTACTGCTTCAGTCTTACACATTTCTTTTGTGCGGCCTACATAACACATCCCCCGTGTGGCTTTTGGCAAACTTTGAAAACATCTGAATTTCCTATTCCTCGAGCATAGAATAATGACTAACTCATATGGAAACGAGAAAGTTGTCCAGCTCCCGATTAAGACCGTTGCTAATTTTGTAATGTTCCAAACTGGTTCTGTGACGTCTCGAGGAATTTATAGGAATTTCCTCATTGCACAATCATCTAAAAATATGGAAAAATATGAATTACTACGATTCGCGCTTTCATGGGTCGATAGGTGTGTTTAGACAACACGATTATGACGCTGTATAGTTTAATTTAAAAGCGATACAGGACCTTTTTCGTCTTATAATCAGGGACTTATCTGAAGAATTCCTCGGAAGGTATGGAATACCAGAGTCAAATAAATGTCTCGAATTATTCCAACTCGTTTCATGTTCAGATGAAGATACGTAAACGAAGCCTGAAAAAAAAAGACGCTCTATTTTCAAGTTGCGTCTTTCAAGCGAACAACCCCCACCCAAAAAAAAAAAAAAAATTCGATGTCTTTGTTTTTTTGGCGCTCCTCTCATACTTGGTTTACGCCAGGCACTCGCCTCCTGCTTGCCTCCTTTCGCCTGAAAACGCAAAAAAAATTAAGGTTTGTTACAATGTATACGCGCTATACATTATTTTCACCCTTTTCGTGCATTTTCTTATTTCGTAGTGTAATAATAACCATAAACTGCAAGTAACTTCCCCATAATGAGTGAAACCACGGTTTCCTCGGGCTTGGCACAACAAGATTTGTTTTTATATTGTTTGCTTGTTTTTTTCTACGCTTTACCAATGTTACAGTCAGTTTAGTGTGTTTTCTGTCCTTTTTCTCTCCGGTCCCGTAGGTTTAGAGTCATTCTTCAGAAAGATAAGAGAAGTACAAACCAGCTTTACACCTTACAAAAGTTACCTCACAAAAGAACAATTTAAACCTTACAACCCAGAGCCACAGGCAGTCAAAAAGTTAACTGACCAAACAAAGAGACTCTATGAAGAACTGTTGGAGATAAAAGCTAGCTTGGAAGTGGGAAAACTAAAGCTACATGAAAGACGACAATTAGCTGTTGCGGAGCACGAATTGAAACATTTCTTCGGGAAACCTTATGGAAACAATTATTATACAGGTTAGCCAAAGTGCACCTCTGTATTCTCTATTTGGTTTCAAGCTATTGCCCTTTCTTTTTGTCAGCAGGAAGGAGTCTGGTGGCAGGAAAGCCTTCAAAGCGCGTGAAACAATTTAGATAACACTTGATGTCAACTCTCCGTTAATCTCCCGTCAATTAAAAAGGAGACCCACGTGCTGGAGTGTTTGGGAGACTTCGTATACTCCATGTCTTCTCCTTCTTGGTTCTTCTACTGGAACTGAAGCTTACCAATTGATGAATCATAGAATACGATGAACTTACATTTTCCGTTTGTAAGAAGAATAATTGAAAGGATTACCACCGACACGAACGTAAAGATTGAACGTAAAACAAAATGGAAAAGAAAGAGTGCCCTCGAGCAAAACCTTACTTTAAGTAATCCTCTTCATAACCGCTCGCTTGGATGCAACGCAGCGCTCCCTGCTCCCTCCCCCCTAGGAGTGGAAGAGTGTGTTGCTTGACACTCCACAGAACGGCTGCGAGGGAGATAATGGTTTTATTGGTGTAAAAGTCATTAATCATAATTTGCCGATAATTTCCACTAAGATAACAAAAAAATCTTAAGAAAAGTTTTTCTTTTCGTCGAAAAACTGTTCTTAATTTCTGTATCGAAATAATCGAATTTTACATGCAAGTAGTCAGAAGGTGTTCATAGTCGTGACTCATATAATTTTTTTTCTCCGTGTCGATCAGGAGCTTGGATGCTGGGTCCGGGTCAGAGATGCACATTGGAACCAATCGCATCTCTACCTCTTCACTTAAACATAGCCCTTTACATATTTTTAACAAATCAGAACAAAACTTTGAAAGTTGCAGAAGATTTCATAAAGATGCTACCAAAATTTCGAGAAGGAATCCAACGGTACAAGTTGAACCTACAGAGGGGTGTGACATCTGGAATGATCCGCTCCAGAAGCGAGTGTGTCGAGGGTATTGACTGCATGAAAGGAAAATACCGTGATCTTTTTACGCAAAAATCTCCCGAGGCTGTGCTATCCTGGTATAGAGTGCACAATCGTATAGAAAACTTTGCGAGACACGTAAAACCGCAAGATTTATCTTCGTGGATTGAGAAGTATGGAAAAAATATGTCCGACTCTCTAACAAACAGTGTCGTCAAATTCATCGGAATGCCAATGGTCAGTTTGTTTGATTATCTCGAAAATGATCACATCTCACACTGCGTGCCTGACAATGTATCCAGTGGACTGGGAACAAGGCCCGTTGATCACGTGTATATCAACGGAACAAAGACGTCAATCAAGACCAACCAGACATTGGATGGTAAAGAGAGGATAATGAAAGGGAAAGATGCGTATGCGGAAATTGTTTCGTATTTCACCACAACAAAGTATACACCAGGCAAGTAGTGATTCTGAAAATTATGATATCAAACTAGGGGACTGGGGGAGGGGGAGGGGGAGGGGGGAAGGATTATTCGGGTTGATTGTACTTGTGTCACAACAAAATCTGCCTG